ACGCTGGCAATTAACAAATCCCAGAAATCAGAAATCAGACATCACAAATCGACCCAAAACTCGAACTTTCAAATGTGATTAAGGTCGACAAGCAAACAAGACGAAATATGTAATAAAATACAACTAAATCGACAGGTTCTAGGCGCAATAAGACAAATAATTATGTTGTTGCTTCTATTGATGCCGGCCCAAAGAAAACAATCAAAATGCGTTTGCGCACAGACAAATAGCCAACGGCTCAACGGATGCTGGCTGGCAACGTATTTCAACAGGTTCACGCCTCTCCAGTCTCAGTCTGGGCCCACAACAAGAACAGAAAAAAAAGAAACAAAAAGAAAAAACGAGACCGAAATCAGTGCAAGAACACATTAAATGTAATTTTCGAATGGAGGCAGTCGCTCGCTGAGATCGCCCAAGCCAAAAAGAAGCCGCCACAAATCCAAGCTCATTGCCAATAAAAACGAGAAGAGGCAGACAAATCAAATAAAAAGGTAGACGCACATTAAATACCCTAAGCCATAAACATTGATGAACTGTTTGTGCCTCCGTTAACATTTACGAGCCACTAAATACGCAAATTGAACTATTATCGATCGAACTATAGCGAAATCAGTTAACTATTTGCCGATGCTCTGCACACAGCTCATGGCTACAGGGTATCGTAGCCAGTCAGGCGACGCTCCACTTGTAAATGGTACATCAAAATTTGAACAGTTTTTCAAGTGTTTATGACGTCTCATGGTGGTGGCGCGGCGGCGAGGTGGGGCTTTTGAATTGGTGTGATTATCGCAAGTAAACTATCTCTCACACAGCTGGGTCCGGCTGGGTTTTGGCTGCATCGACAGCCGCTGCCGGTTTTTGTTTTTATGAAGATGAATTTCTTTTTTATTCGAGATTTATATGTGCCCCACATGACCCCCGCCGCCCCACCATCCCCACTGCCCCTCTCACTCCACGAGCTGCGCGCGGCTGGAGCTCCAATTACTTCACTCACTGTTGATTATTATGTTGTATGTTGTAGTTTTATGAGTTGCTGTTGTTGTATCAGAGATTCCGCAAAATCAATGAAATGCTTGGCTGAATGCGAGTTTCCCTACGCAGCGTGTCCGAACTGTGTGGAAATGGTTAAATATCGCATGAAAAATTGTTAAAAGGGCAGCCAGAACAAACCTTTGTTCATTGGAAACAAAAAGCAATTGCAATCGTTTGTGTGTGCCATAGCAGCAGAATGTATTGAAGTTTTGTTAGGGCAACAAAAATGCTTTTAAATATCAAGAATTGTAATATTAATATAATGCGTAGTGGGAAGCTGATGGAAAGCAGAATACAAATTTACGGATCTTTGCTTATGTGAAATGAGAGCTGAGTTACTAGGAAAGACTATAAAAAGCTGTGGCTATAATTAGCTATGCAGATCTTTGTGGCTTCTTCATTTAATACTATATCAAGCTGGAAAGTCTTGGATTAGTTTATGCAACCTAATTCTAAATACTGCTATCTATAATACCCTTTTCTATAACTTTAAAAGTTATAATTTTTCTTCAATCTGAAACACCTTTAAAGTCTTCAGTCAGTTTTCTTAACTCTTTCAACTACCAAATCTCTCTTAAAACCTCTTCTCAAGTCTTTCTTATGGTAATGAAAACCTTCTGAAGCACCTCATAAGCCACACTTGAAACCCCAACTATTAACTTTAGCCCTTACTCAACACATTCTGCGCTCAACACTCATGTAAGCCAATCAAATTAGTCATCAAGTCTATAGAGCAAACAATATCAATATTTATACACTGACTAAAGCGTAAGTCGGACTAACTTACTGGGCTAATGAGCCGCACTTTTGGGGGTCAGTCGGCACAATGAACGCAATTTACATAGAATACACATCATGTGGCTGCGCAGCCAGTTGGTATTTATCATTTTCAATAAGCCGCAACGCATTGCTGCCATATCTTCTGTGACAATCTGGCAGCGAGTTCTGATCGTGTGGCATAAATCACGAGCGGGGCCAACCGAAACCAGTTTCTGTTTCTGTTTCTGTTTCTCTGATCTAGCGCAAAAGATCTAGGCGCATAAATTCAAATTAGATAAAAATAAACTTTTACCAAGCAGGTGATTTAGTACTTGAACCAAAATATAACAGCAAACGCAGGTGTTTCGATGCAAACTCAAAAAAAAAAAACAGACAAAAAGAGAAACAAGTTTTCCAGATTTATTTTCAAGTCTGAGTTTTTTTTTTGTTTTTTGCCTACGACTTGACATATTTGCCTGCTAATTTCTTGTTATTTATGCGGCCGTTACGCATTTTCTGTGCTGTACAGCCCCAAGCGCCCACTCCCTGCTGCCGCCGTAGCCCAAGTCTTTGGCAAACAATGGAGAGCTTAGCACTTGCTGCCTTCTACCGCTGCTGCCCCACAACGCGTCGCAGTTGAGCCTATTGTTTGTCTGACAAAATGACAATTACATGTGAGGAATTTCAACAAAAAAAAAGAAAAAACCTAAAAAAATTATTAAAATAAATATTTGTGTGCTAAACAAATTGCCTGTCGAGGCTTTAGATGAATGTGTCGCTGTGTCTGCATGTGAATTACACTCGAAAAAAACAATAAAGAATATAAAATTGTTATTGATACAGCTGACAAATGTAGCTACATGAGAATTGATTTTAAAGGTTAACTTTCAGCTGGAAGTTTGAGAAAAAATTCCCAGAAATTTTAGTAGCTGCGCAAAAAAATAGAAAAAAACCAATAACAGGTCTGTGAATGTCATAAATAAATAAAAATATTATATAAGAAAACACATAATATATTATTATGTTCTACAGATTTTAGATTAAAAACTAAAAAATATGGAAATTAGACAACAGTTTGAGAACATTTTGGAGTTAAACTTCCCATTAAATATTTTTTTTAAAGAAATTCTATATATTTAAAAAGAAGTAAAAGAAGTATATCAATTATTCTATAAAAATAAGAAAATAAAACAAAAATAAATAAATTTAAAAAAAATACAATAATAATAAAAAATAAATTAAAGTAATAATAAAAATAAAAAAATTAAAAAAAAAAATTAAATTAAAAAAATTAATAAAATAACTTTTGTTATAAAACAACAAATAGAAGAATATTTAAATATTTTTTAAATTAATAAAAATAATTAACTATTTGATTGATATAGAAACATGATTTTAACCAAAGAATACTAACAATAATATAACCACCTATAATAATAATAACCTATACAAAACAACTATTTTCAGTTAGAGGCAAATCATAATATTAAATAAAATTAGAAACAAATTTAATCAAGTAGATTGCATTGCATAGCAACTGAAGTTTCACTAAAATTGGTTTAGATTTCCAGCATTATTCGGTTAAATTACAATTCATAAAGCAAAATCATATTAAGCCCATTTAAGAACTGCATCCAATCAACTTGGTTAGCTCGTAGTTTCCTCATATGTAATTTATTCAATTGCCAACCTCATTTCGGCAGCCGCCCACACACGAATGCCTTTTGGCCAGCGCCAGAGCCAAAGCCAGCACCTTCGGCGCAAACACCAAGATAAACAACTCAATGGCAGCTCTTTGTGCAGTTTGCGGCGACTGCAGCTAAAAGTCGCATGTGAAAATTCACACTGTCATCACAACAACAACAACAACAACATCGACAGCAAGTTAAGGCCTTAGGCCAAGCGAGGCCAGGGCTGGGCTTTGGGAATTGGCTGGGATGGCACTTCATTAAATAGACACCGCGGTGCTTTTTCGAGCCCAGCCACGCCCCCAGCATTACCCACTTGTGGGGGTAACACTTCTTATTTTTCACACATGCTCGTCGGGAAAAACAACTGCGAAAAAAGGCCAAAGAAAATAAAGAAAAAGCCAACAGCAAAACGAGGCAGAAATTTAAGCAACAAAATTTTGTTTTGCCTTTTTTCGTGCTCTGTTGTTTATGATGACAATTTTTTGTCGCTCTCGACGACGTCGACATGTGGCCATAAAGTTGTCGGTAAATAACAAACAGGCGGCGACAAACGCACAACAAGCGACTGGGAGGCGTGGCTGCCGCCCACAAGGCATGCCACAAAATGGAAAGAAAGAAAGCGAAAAAAAACGCAGGCGTCAAATTTTGTCTGGCGCACACAGGATGCTTGAGCGCTGGATCCTTGAATGCAAAAAGAAAAAAAAAAGACCACGAAAAGTATCTCACGGATTGCAGCCAAAGTATCTGCGCTCGCAAACATGTTGCATGCATTTCCGCTTGCCTCCAACAGCAAAAAAAAATAAATATATAAATGTTATTTCAACTCAATTTCGTAATATTTTTCAGCTGCGCCACCGAAATTATGCCCAATCGAGCGCAACATTTGCGCATTATGCAAATTGTTTTTGCATCGATACTTAAATGTCTGAGCGAAGCTCAACAAACAAAAAAGATACAGATATAATATATATATATTTATATACATGTATACATAGAAACAAAAGCAAATTAACATTTGCACTTAGCGCATTTTGAAACCTGTTTTTAATGAACGACCTTGAAATGCTGCTAATGTGTGACTATAATTAAGGATTAGTCATGGCTTCAGGTGGAATTATGACTGAAATTTGCTGCCTTAACTTGGCCTTGACTTGTGAATTTTATTTAAATGAGTTCAAAGCTCTTTAAGAACTTTATGCAACTTTCATTGAAGACACAATTTATTTTTGTATCTTAGCCCAAGAATCGAATACAAATTATAATCACTTAGAGCGAACAAAAGCTTTTACTTACATTATATATACTTAATCTATTCTTTATAATTTTGTAGCAACTTCAATTGAAAACATACTTTATTTTTGTATCTTTGGCTTAAGTAAACATATTACATATATATTATCTATTCGACAAAATTCTGCAATTCTCTCGCAGCATTAAAATGCCATTAAAAATTGACTTCAAACAAAGCCTTAGCCCTGCTATATATAAAGTCAACTTGTGGATCAGACACTCACTCACCCATAAAGTGCTTGATGCTCTGCGACATGTGTCTCCACTCGTCGACTAATCCACACACAATTTGGTCTGTCTATAATCTGTAATGAAGAGCAAAACATATAAATTTAATATGCTGTCCCATAAATTCTCAATGCTGCACTTAAAAACAGAGAGTTAAAAACAGAGAGAGAAAGAGAGAGTGAGCGAGTGAAAGAGAGAGTCGATTCAAAGTTAAAAATATCTAAAAATATTTCTAATTAAATACGAAAAGAAAAGCGGAAGATAGAATGGAAAATGTTTTGTCAGCTGTTTAAAGGATTGACAATGAAATTGAATACGCAGCGAGAACTTGGACTAAGTGAAAATTAATAGCACACACTCTCAGCAAGAAGAAGCAGCAGCAGCACCAGATGATGAAGAAATGCGTAAAACTTTCACTTGAAATTTGTTGAAACACGAAACTTGAAATGACTTTTTGAACTGTGAACCTAAACAAAGCCAAGTCGAGCTAAGTTGATGATTGGAGCTGAAATAGGATGAGCTCCCGAGTGGAGTGAAGTGAAGGAAGGCATCATAAATATAAATAATACACATATTTCGAAGTGTGTCGCCTTGTAACTAACACGCTCGCCCGGTCTGTCCGTCCGTCTGTCTGTCTGTGTTTGGGGTTGGGGCAGCTGCCTGCATGCCCCAGCAATTTGTGTGTGTGGCAGCATCTCCATAGCGACAACATTTTGACACACTTAAGTGTTAGACAGAGCTCCGACAGCCAGCATCATCAGCAGCATCATCGTCATCAACAACCTCATCTCTATGATCGTAGTACAAGTTGTCAGAGGGTCGCAGCGATAAATTTGGAAATTATGAACATAATTCTTCATTAGGTCGCAGCATCCGATAATGGAACTGAAGAGGCGTCCGAAAACGCAGTCAAACGAGAGTGAAAGAGCGGCAGCAGCGGCAGCTTCCCCCTTCCGCTCCACCCTGCCCACACTCGCTTTCGTTTCCCGCTGTTGTTGTTTGTGTGTGAAGCCTAACGCCTGGTGATAAATTGGCGATATTACGCACTCGGCTTGGGGATTATTTTCAAATTTTTGCACGTGGGCGTCGATCGAAAGTCCCGCCCAAAAGCTCCAGCATTCCAAGAATGCCACAAAACGCACACGCAAAGCAATAGATAACCGGGCCGGGAGTCAAGTCCCATTGATGGAGCTGCGATTGTTGGGAATTTCAATTGAAATAACGTGATTTTTGTGGTCCGTTGGTCACAGGTCCGCCGCCTCTCTCGAGCGATGGGCGGGGCCAAATGCCACTGGCATAGATTTTTCCAAAACTATTCCGACTATTGTTTTGCGGTTTTGCGCAGATTTTGTTTGCCTTCGCTTTGTATTTTTTTTTCATTTCTCTATTTTTTCGTAACTTTTTTCGGGCTTAAATGAATCGGAACGCACTTTTCACTAGCCTCTTTTTGGGGGTCGTTATGTGTGGGTGGGTGTGGCCATTATACGGCCTTGTGTGCTTAGCTTTTCAGCGAGTTATGACCTGTGGGCCCAAACTAACTGACATTGGCAGCTGCTGGAGCTTTCTATTTTAAAAATATTGAAATATCACTGAAATACTGCGTGTCCGTTGCATGAAGGCAGTTTATTTAATTGTTTGTAATTTAAAAAATAAAAAATAAAATAAAAAATCACTTTTCAGTCTCTCCCCGACGGGGAATTGAACCCCGGTCTCCCGCGTGACAGGCGGGGATACTAACCACTATACTATCGAGGACGTTGAGTTATGATTATCTAAAAGTCTACATGAAACGTCTTAGCTATCAGCCAAGCAAATTAGCATGAGCAAATAACAAGCTTAAGCACAGCCAGAACAACGTCACGCTTCAGTAACTTTTTGGTATGAAAGCTTACAAGTGTGAGTAGTTTTCCGTTTATTAATCACACGCATATATTAACAAGTTGTATGTGTGACTATAAATAGCGACAAGCTTTTGCATAACTGTTTGGCGTTTGCTTTGTGGTTCTTCTTTTCATTTTCTTTATTATGCGATGTCATTGCTGATTTTATGTTTATCAGCGATTCTCTTGTTTTGTTTTACTTGTACAGCGGCAAAGCTCAAAGCAAATACAACCAATGCTATATGACGTCACAGAAGTCAATAGATTATTAAATGCATATTCCATATTTCCTATAGTTGTTGGTATTCCTAAAAGCAATTTAATTGAAGTTCAATATTTTTGCAAAGAAATATTTGTGAATTTCGTAGAGAAGATTTAAATGCACCTTGTTCTGTGTGCCATTTTAACAGCACTCCAAAGCTGTCAGCACGTCAAACTTTGTTGATAACAGCTCTTTGGAGACCTATTACAAAAACTATCAAACAACTGGCAACAAAGTGCCGCAGTCCCAAAACGATTTCTGAACCATTCAGACATAATGCATAAAGCATAAAGTAAAAAAAAAATAGAAAAAGCTCGGCTCTCTGTGCTCCACATGCGAGTGTCGACTGCATTTGGGTATCTCACAGTCCAATTCACTCAGCGCATAGCGATTGCTAGTGCGAGCGAGACAGCAGCTGCGGCACGCGGCGACCGCAGAAACCGCAAGGTGCGTTTGTGTTGTTTGCTATTATTATTATACGTATTATTGTTGTTGCAAAACACAGCGCGCCAAAGGATGGAAGGGATGGAAGGGATGGAAAAAATCGTGCAAAATATAAAAAAAAAACTGTAAATAAAAGAAACAATTACACAAACAATTCGATTGCAGCCGACGCTGCTGTCGCCGCTGGCAGCAAATACGCCACTCAACTGACACTCAACTGGCAGCAGCAGCAGTGACAGAGGCAGCGACAGCGGCAGCGGCAGCAGCAGCAGATCTCCCTCTCTTGCGCTCCCACTCCCTTTTTGAGTGCAATCATGCAAATAAAACATTTTTTATATGCATGCCTTTCTGAGTAAGCGTGTGTGTATATGTGTGTGCGTGCAAAATTTTAACCCAAATATTTTGTAGACATGCAATATTTATGCTGCAACAACAACAACTGTAGCATAGCCACAGTGCAAACAGGCGCAATTACAACAATAACAATAACAGTCAGCAGACAGGCAACAACAAAAACAACAATGTTTTTGATGTAATGGACATTTGCTACTTTGCAAATGGGTTTCAATTTTAGTATGGGACAAGAACTGCAACTGACAAACCAACCCCCGCCACCACGCAGCTGACTGACTAGTTTTGGGCAGCTGTAGATTTTTGCATTGCATTTGTTTTGCGTTAATGTCCCTTAATGCAGCTGTCCCTCAAACACTCGCTCGCTCACTCACACTCTGTCGCGCTCGCTCCTCTGCTCACTTAACAACAAACAGCAACACTGTAAAGCTTAAAAGTCTACACTCAACATATATTTCTCTCCCTCTCCCTCTCTCTATCTTTTCGCCCGCATTTTGCGAACATTTCTAATTTTCATAAACACATTAAAATGATAATTAAAAGGCATTTCTGTATTTTTCTTGCTTTCTGCCACATTATTTATTTATTATGTATGCAAATGCATTTAATTGCATGGACAGCATAGTAGCAACTTTTAGTGGGAGTGGAAAGTGAGGAGGGACGACGTCAAACAATTTGCATATTTTAGCATGTAATGAAATTTGTAATAATTCTGCAATTAATTGCGTGCGTGTCCTTGTTTATGGCCACTGCAAACCTACGTGGAACAGCAGCAGCGGCGCCAGCAACAGTAACAGCAACTGGAGCACACAGCAACAATAGGTGCTGCTTATATATACGTGTGTGTGTGTGTAGTCTTCATGTGGGCACACATGAATATAACTCTACACACGCGCTCGCGTTCGAGCACAGCTGCTTGACAAGCTTCGAATTTTGCATTAAAGTGAAAGCTTTTCATTATTATAATGTAACAGTAATGACTGTGTATATGTGAGGGTGTGTGTGTGTTAGCGAGTTTGTTTGTGACAATTGAATAATTAATTTAACAATTATTCGACTAGGCGCATATCCTGTAAAATCAACAACACACATTTGATTTTCATTCAATTTTCAATTATTTTGAATCGCCGCAAGCATTTATTTATCTATAAGAGCGACCAATTGCAAGCAGTTGAGTTAGGTTGGACTTTGAGCTCGAACTGACAATGGTGCAAAGTGCATCTATTTTTCATTTATTTTTCATTTATTTGCATATATTTATTTTTATTAAAATTGTTTCAAAACGCTCTATTGAGAGTTAAATTTTGTGTGTATAAAATACAATTGTTGTTATTTTATTATTATTATTGATACTGAGCCAATAACTGTGCTGCATGCCTCGCTTTTATTGCATGTTTATTTTCAATTGCAGCACAAATAACACGAAAAATATATACTAATTTTATTTATTTTATAAACATTTATATGTATATATATATCGTGTATATCAAACTTTATCTAGAAATTGCAATTTTTATCATGTATCTTAAGAGATATTTTGATTTTCATTTTGATGTCGTTTGTTTTGATGCTTTTCAATTATGTAAGGGCTGGGCATCAGTTGTTGGCATTTTCCCTTGATTTTCATTTGATTTTCATTTGTTTTTTTTTCTCCGCTTTTTCTCTGTTTTGCCATTTGGCCGCTTCATTGCATTTGTCTCGACTCTGAACCCTCAAGGACAGACAATAGATTTCAAGGATGGTTTCCTTTTGCTTACTTACGCAATGCTGCCCAGCTGCGTTACTGCTTTTCCGCTTTTCTATTTTCTTCTTGTTTTTTTTTTTGCTTTTATTTTTATAGCTTACAATCATCATTTCTGTGAAGCGAAGGCAACACAAAATAAAATCTAATAAAATTAGTGGCAAATAGCTTTAAAACTCAATGTTTTTCTAACGTTTCGTAATTATTCGAATTACTCTCACACTGACCCTATTTCTCTCTCTCTCTCTCTCTCTCTCTCTCTCACCTTCTCTCTTTTCATTATATTCGCGCCTTCATAAGACTCGAGGCCTTGCAGCCAGTCAATTAGTTGCCTTAGCTCAGCTGAAACCCATGGAAAATATTGAATAAAAGCAAAAAAACAAACTTTTTATATTCATT